CTCTCCTCCTCCTACTCCTCCTCCTTCTTCACCTCCTCCTCCATCTCCTCCTCGTCCTCCTCCTCCTCTTCCTCCTCCTCCTCCTCGCCCGTGAAGGTCTGCGACGACGTTTTCACGTACGGCGACTTCGGCGCAGACAACTCGGGGAAGAAGACCAACGAGACGGACAAGATCAGGCGGCTGAGGAGGGGGAGGATGAGGAGGAGAAGGAGCAAGAGGATGAGGAAGACTGACCAGGCGGTGGCACAAGAACATAGACTGCCTCGTGGACTCGATCATCGAAGGTCTCGTCGCCCTCCCCCCCCCTCCTCCCTCCTCCACCTCCTCCTCCTTCTCATCATCCATCCCCGCTCCTCGCTCTGTTTCCTCGAGCTCTTCCTGCTGTGCTCGATTGCCGAAGGCTTCGACGACCTGGTCATCTTCCAGGAGTGCATCGGCACCCAGCACCTCCGCCAGCTGATCAACGGCATACTCTTCGTGTACCTTGCCCTCTACCCGTGGTGCGTCAGCAACGAGAGCGATTGGGTGCTGCTCTGCACAAACCTCGGGCTCGCGTGCGTGTTCTACGGCCTCGACACGGTCGCGCAGGAGCTCGAGACCTCCATCGGCGGCGGCTCTTCGCCGATCGACATCGACGTCCGCTCGACGTTCCTGAACTTCTTCGCGGCCATGCGGGAGGAGGAATCCGCCACTGCGCTGCAAACGGTGGCCAGACAAGACGCAAGTTTTAAGCCGGGCCTGTTCCTCTACAGGAGGAAAAATCAAGAAGAGTCAAAACATCGGAGGTTGGGGGGTGAGATCGAAGTGGAACGGAGAGCCCCCCACCGGGAAGTCGGTTTCAGTTTCGTGTTCGTGCGTGCCATGCGTGCGGGCGAGGCGAGGCTGCGTGGGCGGGCGAGAGGAAAGTCTCCTGTGGCTGAGGCGCGGCCGGACCAAATGATTCTGTCTCCGGCAAGCGGTGTCCCGCTGGTGTCCCGCCGGTGTCCCGCTTGAATGATTCTCCCTCCGGCAAGCGGTGGCCCGCGGTGTCCCGCCAGTGTCCCGCTGGTGTCCCGGTGTCCTGCTGGTGCGACAACGATAGTGATACCGATGACGAAATTGATTGTGAGATCGATAATGAGATCGATAGTGAGACTGATAGTGAGATCGATCGTTAGATCGATAGTGAGCTCGATAGTGAGGTGAATAGTGACATCGATTGTGAGATCGAGTGATATCGATAGGAAGATCGATAGTGGGATCGATAGCGAGATCCAGAGTGAGATCGACAGTGCAATCGATCGAGTGAGATCGATAGTGAGATCGATCGAGTGAGATCGATAGTGGGATCGATGGTCCAAAGAGCGAGCGGCAACGCAACAATCACCACTGTTGCCCATTGCTGGCCCCCCTCCCGCCCCCCAACCTCCTTATCACCCGCAGGGTGGTCCTATAGGTAGTCTGGGGACGATTGTTTGACTATGTTTGAAAATTGTTGGAGAATCTTGGAGCATTTCTGATGTTTCGTCCAAAATCTGCCTGTATGGGGACACGCCCGCCCTAAGACAGGACGCAAGTCCTTTTTCGGAGGTGCGCCTTGTCGCGAGTCCTTGTCCGGGAGTGCACCTTGTCGCCTTGTCGCCCTCCACCTTGGGTGTGGAGAGAAGCCCTCCGGGCGAGCGCACTCCCTGCTGATACATCTGCCATACTCTTTTTCTCCGTGCTCAGACGTGGGAGCGCCCTGCAGCGCCACCGTCGGCATGCGGGGGTCCTCTTCCGGCTTGGTCTCGGGGAGCGGCGGCAGCCGCCCGGCAGGAACCACAGCGAGTGGGCCCACCATGAGGCACGGGCAACAAGACGCAAGCTGTTGAAAGATCCCGCGTCGGTCTCCGCCTCCGGGAGGAGGAGGAGGAGGAGGAGGAGGAGGAGGAGGAGGAGGAGGCGGAGGAGGCGGAGGCGGAGGCGGAGGCGGAGGCGGAGGCGGTGCCGCTCCAGGCTGGAATGCGTCACCGCACCGTGGCCGGCGCTTGCCGCAGGCGCAGAGGCCCGTGCTCCTTGCCCGTGGGGCAGTTTTTTTCGTTTCGGTTCCCTGCTCGATGGCCGCTTCTCGGCGTCACCCCAACATACTTGTACTGTTTTGTGCGTCGCCCCCCCAGGGGCGACGCGCGCACCGAGGAATCTTATAGTATATGTGTCGTGGCGGGCGCTTTCTGGCCACGCCGCTCGAGAAACGATGTACTACAAGATGGGTATACCATATGTTCGGTTTGGACGCGCGCCTTCAAGGAGGACATATAGTACTAGTATGTCTCTGTGCGTCCCAGCTTCTCGAAATGTGGGAGAGCGCCGAGGTTTGTTTTGCCCGGACAGAACACCTGGGCGACACAACCCGAAGGGAGGTGCCCAAGGTGCTTGCATGAATTCACATGCAGTCGGACTTCGCAACACGAACGGCGGCACGGACCCGCCCCAGGCGTTATCCGCGCCGCCGTTGCGAGGTGCCTCGAGATGCCACCCCGAGACACGGCCACCGGCACCCCCCCCACTTGGCCGCCAGCCTCAAGCAGCGGAGGCCCCGCTGCCCAAGGACTTAAGCTCCCGCGCCCCCCACGTCGGAGGACCCCTTCGAGTAACCCCATCGGGCCTCTCAGGGATGGCACGGCGGGCCCGCACCTACTGTGGCTGGCCAGCCACAGGGCAAGAGTCTCTCCCACAGCCCCGTCGAGCTGTGGTGACGATCGGGCTGCCAACCCGCCTGTTTTCCTGGGACGCCACGAGGGCACCCAGCGGCACAGGTGCCGGGAGAGCGCCGAGGTCAGCAACGAGACAATGCGCGAGAGGTTTGGGGGGCCCCACTTCTCGCACGACGGTCGCGCGCTCGGGGGCCAGGGGCTGCCTCTCAGTGGTGGTGGGCCTGGGGCCCAGGGAGCGGAGCTCATGAGGCGGCAAGGTGGGTAGGCCTCGGGCCCAGAGTTCAGTCGGGCCTGTCCCTCTACAGGAGGAGTATTCAAAAAATAGTCCAAAGATAGGCTGGGAACACTTTACGGACTATTTTAGAGTATGCTTGAAGATTGCTTGCCTATGTTTTAGTGTTCGTCCAAAAATCCACCTGTAAGAGGACACGCCCGACCTGAGCCTGGGGCCCAGAGAGCGGAGCTCATGAGGCGGCAACAGCAGCAGAAGATGCCCGACCGAGCAACCCGAAGATCCGCGTGCCGCGTTAATGTGGACTGAGCGCGGAGTGCGTGCAACATTCGCACGTGCCCAGGCCCCCTCGGGTAGTGAAAATGGTGGCGACGGAAGGCTTTGGTAATGTTGGGCCTCGGGGGTGATGGGTTTACCGGGCCCTGGGACCATCAGGAAACGATTCGGGGTGGTTTGGACCTTTGAAGGGCCCACGTTGTGAAAAAAACATGCCGTCGGGGGTCTGGGGAGCGCATATAAAAGCTGGATGTGAGCACATGCGCCTGCAAGGGAGGGAACATCCCGCTCGGACAGAAGCGTTGGGGCCAGCAACGAACTAGAGAATTTGGGTATTGGGTCCAGAGCTCAGAGCTAGACTCTAGAGCCCCAGGCCTCAAATGCAGGCGATAATCCCGTTTTGAAAATGAATTCTTCGCGCTTCGCGTATCCCCACCAGATGTCGTCGCTCGGCGTCCCTCGGCGGCAGCTCCGGCAGCCGTTAGTTCGCGCGCTTAGGTAATTAGGTTTGGCTCGTTGCCTGGGCTGACTTCGGACGTCGCCTGCGCTTCCGCTTGCGGCCGCGACGGAAAAAGTATCCCCACCAGCCCCCGGCTTGTCTCACCTCCCACTGTTCGCTTTCTCTCTTGTGTCTCTCTTCCTCTCCCTCGCTTCAATTTAGGCTCCGGCTTGTTAGCTGTAGCTCTGGACGGCGCGCGGCCCTTCCGTATGCGCTCGCGAACAAAAAAGTATCCCCACCAGCCCATTCAGAAGCCCTGCCCATGAGAGCTGACGGAAGGGACAAAGAGACACATCTAGGGAAACAAAGCGAGCAACCAAGGTGAACCAAGAGATCTCTGGGAGCAAGGGGGTGGCCTTGGAAGGCCTCCTCGGGCCATCCCTGGGGGCCGCGTGGGGGCGAGGGGAAGAGGAGGAGGAGGAGAAGGAGGAGAAGGAGGAGGAGAAGGAGGAGGAGGACGAGGACGAGGAAGAGAAGGATGAGTAGGACGAGGAGGACGAGGACGCGGATGAGGACGAGGACGAGGAGGACGAGGACTAGGATGAGGACGACGCGGACGAGGACTCATGTAACCATCTAGAGGTATTCTTGCGGGTGTTGCTGCTGCTCCTGGTGCTCTCTGGGAGTTTGGGGGACCCTCTTGGAATCCGATTGGTAACCCTGGAAGGCTTCTTGGGATTATCTTGGAGGCCATCGATTACAGGATGGGGGGGTCCCCAACTCAGCTCCCCCCTCAGGAGCCGGCAAAAAGCTTCTTGGGTTTTTTTTGGAGCGCTCTTGGAGCGGTCTTGGGGCCATTTGGAGCATCGTGGGAGCCATCTTGAGCCAGCTTGGGCGATGTGAGCCGTCTTGGAGGTCATCTTGGACTCTGAGGCCGTTCGGGGGGCTCTTGAGGGCCTCTCGGGTGCCTCTTGGGGCCCTCTTGGGACCCTCTCGGAGCCCTCTTGGGGTTCTCTTGGGGCTCTCTTGGGAGCCTGGAGCGCCTCTTAGGGCCATCTTCGATGCTACCGATCGAAGGAGGGAGGGTACCGATCGGCTCCCCCCCTCGGGGGCCATGATCCTCGTGAGTGGTGTCAAAAATTGGCTCTCCCAGGGGCCGAAAAAGGACCCTCTGCCACCTCGCGAGACGCCCCATCCAGGTCCAGGGGAGGGGGCAGGGGGAGGGGTGAACCCCTCTCCGAAGGGGAAGAGGGTTTTTCGGGGGTGGACAGAACCCCCAACAGTGACACGTCGATTAGTGAATTGTCCGTTTTCGGTTCTCGAGAGGGCGCCGTGGCCGTTATTTTCCAGGCTTGCGCCCGCCAGGTTTGGGCCTCAGGCCGTTTTCACCAAACCACGTTTTACTAAAGGGGGGTCTGTCCATCCCCGAGTTTTGGAAGAGGAAAGGAATAATTTTGTTAGACCACCTACGCCCAGAGGGCTGGCGGGATTGCGCTGCATCCTTCTAGCCCGTAGTGGGGCATGCAAGCAGGCATGATCAGGTAGTTCCACAAGCTGTCCAGCGATGTCCCCGTTTGGGGGGAAAGAGGGGGTCGCACGCCACCCGTGCCATTGCTGCACAAGCTTGCATGCATGGCAACCAGCATCGAGGAAGACTCGAGCAATGGGCCCATGTTGAACAGGTACTCCAGATTTCGTGATAAAAGGGAGGGGGTCTGGACCCTCCAAGACAAGCCATTTCAGACCTCCCCCGTGGGAGAACCCTCCAGAACATCGTCCCCAGACCCCCCAGGCCCTCCAAGATAGCCTGGAAGAGACCCCCCCCCGAAATGAGACCCCCCTCCCTTTTATTACGAAATCTGGAGTGCCGCCCTGTATCCGTGCGGCTCCTGCACGTGCCCTGCAGCGTCTCGCTGCGGGCTTCCGATCGCTGCAGGAATTCTCGAGCGAGGCCCTCAGTTTGAAATGGAGCGGTCGTCCATCGGTGCAGCTGCTGCACTTACTCACGACGAGTGCGCGCGGCGCTCAGACGAGAGCCCGAGGTTCGAAACGACCCAGAAACCCACCTTGGCAGTTGCTACGAATCTGAACAAAGAATGTGTGCGGCGCTAGAGTAAGAGCCCCATGTTGCAGATGGCCTGCGCTTCTTCTGTTTAAATGCTGCAGGCGGTCAAGAAGAACGTGCGCGACGTGGCAGCGCAATTCCTATTGCCCAGACATAGTTGCGCTCCATGGTTGGCGGTGCTGCGATGCTCAAGCTGCTGGATCAGAAGCAGTGTGGACTCCTCAAGCCAAAAGCCCAGACCGCCCTGACGACACAGCTGGGGGTGCGGCATGGGGGGAAGTTATCTACACGTGCAAGCGATCTAGGGGGAGAAACGGAGCGAAGACCAGGACAAGAAGGAAGCGAAAGGAGAAAAGAGAGAGGAAGGAGAGGCACACTGAGGAGGGGAGGAAGAGACTGGTGGAGGGTGTTGGATGTTGGAGGTCTCTAGGGTCCCCAGAATCCCCCGTAGGGCTTGTCCGAAGGCCATGACATGTCACGACAACCAAAGACGTTGGCCAGCGTGGATCCAGAACTGCCTGTTTCTAGCCATCTATGGGGTGCAACGTATGTGGAGCAAACTACGTTGTGCAAAGAGTGTGATGCAATATATGTTGTGCAGCCGACGTCGTGCAATCTAAGTGGTGCAATCGATGGCGTGCTGGCTACGCGTTGCAGTAAGGATGGGGCATCGTATGCGGTGTAACCTATGCAGTGTACTAGTTGCAGTAGGTGCTGGACAAACAATGATGCGCAATACATGGTGTGCAGTCTATGTGGTGCAGTATGTGCGGTGCACTCTACGCTGTGCAAATCAAGCGGCGACGGGGCGGCGACGGCGGCAACATACCCGCCAGACCGACAACCCCCACACGACGGGTGGCGACGAGACGGCGACGGGGCGGCGACGGGGCGGTGACGGCGACCACGGCGACAACATAGCCGCCAGGCCGACACCCCCTCCCCAGTTCTGTGGGACAGAAGTAAGAACAACTAAGCATTGCTTGGGCCATTGGAAGCGGTTGAAAGCCTTTGAGGGGGGACGGCCAGGGAGGTAGAAGAGGAGGAGGAGGAGGAGGAGGAGGAGGCGGAGGTCGGGTCGAAGGAACTTGTCTGCGTCGGGCTACCTTCTCAATGTTTTAAGGCGGAAGGAGGAGGACGAGGAGGAGGAGGGAGGAGCAGGAGAGCGACGAGGACGAGATCGAGGACGACAAGGAAGAGGAGGGAGGGGAGGAACAGGAGGAGGAAGAGAAGAAGGGGACAGACGGAACCGTATGGAACGACGAGGCGGATGATGATGATGATGATGATGATGATGATGATGATGATGATGATGATGATGAGGAGGAGGAGGAGGAGGAGAAGGAGGAGGAGGGAGGAGCAGGAGGAGGTGGTGGAGGAGGAGGACGAGGTGGAGGAGGAGTCGGCGCCCTCTTTGGCGCGTGTGCTCCGCCGAGAGCTGGTTCGCGGGCGGGCCAGGACGTTCTTCCAGGAGCGCGCGGCCGTCGGCAATAGGCCCTCCTCCCTCCCCCCCTCCTTCCCTCCAGCCTCGTCGTCCTCCGTCTGTCCTCCTCCTCCTCCTCTTCCTCATCCTCCTCCTCCTCCTCTTCCTCCTCCTCCCCCTCCTCCTCCTCCTCCTCCTCCTCCTCCTCCTCCTCCTCCTCCTCCTCCTCCTCCCCTCTTGCCTTAGGTCGCTCGACAATGACCCTTCCTCCTCCCCTCTTCCTCCCGTCTTTTTGCCTTCTCTCCTTCTCCCTCTTTCTCCTCCTCATCCCACCTCCTCGTCCGCATGCTTCCCTCTCGGCTCGACGTCCTCCTTTTCTCTGCGTTTACCCTGAACAGCTTGTGTGAATGGGTTTCTGCATGTTGTAGAACTTTCAGGAACTAGTAAGTGCGCTGCTGGATTGGGAAGCGATCGGGTGACGTTATTTCTCGTGTCTCCCGTGGCATCCCGTGGCTTCCAGTGGTTTCCCATCGCCGTCTCTAGCCCTGTGTATCCCTCTACCCCTCATCCTCCATGTATGTTGTTATCCCGATATTTGGTTCCAATCCCTGTATCCCTGTATCCACGTCCCTATAGCCCTACCCTTTATCGCCATCCCGATCCCCCCATCGTGACTCCCCTTTATCGTGACTCCCCCCATCGTGGCCCCCAACGGAACTGTGTAAAGCTGTTGGTGGTCTTCCGCCGCCAGGGTGTCATTTGCTCGGGGCTGGTGGAGGGCCAGTCGAGATAACGGCGGCCCTCCCTGGCGGCTGTCTGCCTCTGCTGGCCTCGCGCGGGAGCTTCTCGCTGCCGCGGCTGGGTGTTCAGGCTCCGTGCAGCCTGGCCCCGTGTGCCACCCCGTCTGGGAGGAGGAGGAGGAGGAGGAGGAGGAGGAGGAGGAGGAGGAGGAGGAGGAGAGGAGGAGGAGAGGGGAGGAGGAGAGGGAGGAGGGAGGAGGAGGAGGGGGGGGGAGGGGAGGAGGGAGGAGAGGGAGGAGGGGAGGGAGGGAGGGAGTGGGGGAGGCGAGGCAGGAGGGAGGCAGGAGGGGAGGCAGGAGGGGAGGAGGAGGGGAGGCCCCGCCCCGGCCGGCCGCTGCTCGCAGAGTGGTGGGGCCTCAGCCCACCGCCCAGCGCCTGCAGCGCGGTCCTGGCCTTCGGGCTCCGTGGTGCAGGTGCAGGGCGGTGGGTCTGAGAGTCCCCGTGGGCCCTCCGCCCGCCCCGCGGGCCCTCCAACTGCCGCCCGGCTGCTCGCCTCCTCCTCCTCCTCCTCCTCCTTCTCCTCCGCCTCCTCCTCCTCCTCCTTCTCCTCCTCCTCCTCCTCCTCCTCCTCTCCTCTCCTCCTCCTCCTCCTCCTCATCCTCCCTCCTTCTCGCTCCTCCTCCTCCTCCTCCACCTCCCCTCCTCCTCCTCCTCCTCCTCCCCCACCCCATCCTCCTCCCGCACCCCCTCCCCCTCCCCCCCCCCTCCCCTGCTCTCCTCCTGTCAGCTCGGCAGCCGCGTGCGCGGCACCGCGGCGGGGTCGACCTGCGCCCGGAGGAGCCAGCAGGGCAAGGGAAGCGGGCTCGGTGGGGCAGAGAGCAGCGTCGCCATCCTGAGGAGAGGCACACGGGGCCAGAAGGCGCCAGGAGACCTCAGCGCGCAGCCAGCGAGGGAGGCGCACGGGGGGGGCAGCGGCCGAGCAGGGACAGGAACTGGGCGGACCGGAGTCCAGGCCTCCCGGATGGGGTCCGACCAGACGGGGTCGGAGGATCGCGCCGCATCGCCGATGCATCGACGATGCGGCTCGATGTGAAGCCCGCGTTTCCCCACGCCGACGTCGCCGATGCATCGCCGACGTCGCCAGTGCATTGCCGATGCATCGCCGATGCATCGGCGATGCGTTGTCGATGCGGCGCGATCCTCCGACACCATCTCCTCGGGCCCCATCTAGGAGGCCTCTACAGAGGAGGAGGGCCAGCTTCTCCCTGCCAGGCATTCAGGGGCGGCCAAACCGACCCCTAGCAAACCATACCCTTGCGTAGCGAGTTTTGCGTTTTCGAGGTCAATGCGGTCCGCGCGTGCGTTGGCTGCAGACTCGAGCAAATTGCCCACGCGCGAAGCGCTCTCGGGGCACGACCGGCGCCGCCCCAAAGGAATTCGCAAACAGAAGTCATGAAGTGCAGCAAGTGTGCCGCGCAGCGGATTTGGGCAATGCCGCATTGCCCAAATCCGCTTAAAGCCCGTTCCTGGATTTTCTCTCGGCGTCTGCCGTGGCGCGTGTTCTCGAGGCGGATCGAGCCGTGGCGACGAGGGGCCCCCAGGAGACTCGAAAGGGGGGGGACGATGGTGAGGAGGGCCGCCGTTGTCTCGGCGGGCCCTCCTCCGAGCATCCCTTTCTCATCCTCTCGAAGGATTGCAAAACAAAAAAACAACAACAAAAAACAAAAAACAAAAAAAAAAACGAAGGATTGCAAAAAAACAAAAAAAAACACCAGAATGGGATCGCGAGAATCAGAGCGTGAATTACCTACCCCGCTTTCGCTTCCAGGCAAAACCAAGTCATACCACGCGCCTCCTCGTCAAGCGGCCTGACCAGTACAGGCCGTAGTTTGACATCGCTTGGTATCTCTTGGAAGCGAGGGTGGTCAAAAGCGAGGTAGGTTCGTTTGCCCCCTAGAGAAATCACGTCAAGGGCCTTGGAGCCCAGCCTTCTGCGCCGTTTTGGGGGCCGAATCGCTGCGTGATGGCCCGAGCCCGACACAGGGCGAGATCGCCCGGTGTGCAAAACAAATGCGACGCCAGGATCTCAGGGTCCTCCCCCTCTTCCATACTTCCGGGCATTTTTCCATACGTCTTGCACACCACGTTTCGGACTTCGGCGCGACGCGATATTCGCGCCCCCCCTCCCAAGCGTCAGCGTCCCGAGCCTCTCCCGACCTCCCGCCCCGCGGAGCGGAGCAACATGCCACCCGCTTGCAGTGCACAGCGTGTCGCCGCAGCCGCCGCCGCGACACACTGAGCCAATGTCCCCGACCGCGCCCGCGGGATTACTTTTCTGTGGCAGCGGCGTGGATCCATGCCGCGTGCGCAGGCAGCCGAGGGACACTACGGGGCCGAATCGGGCACCACGGAAGCGGACGGAGAGCGGGCGCGAAGGAGGGGGACGGAGCACGCTCGGGGCAGGAAGCCTTTGCACGTGTGTGCGGGTGGACGGGCGTGCGCAGCAGGGAGCCGTGCGAGCCCGAGGGTGTGAGAAGCACTTGTAGGGGAAACGCAAAGCTCGAGTACGACTAGGGGGCCACATGCGAACCCTACCCCTACCCCTCCACGATTTCTGAGAGGGTAGGGGTAGGGTTCGCATGTGGCCCCCTAACGACGGAACTCAGATTTGCCGACGCGTTCCGACGAGGGCGCTCTGGATTCTGACGGGCCAGGTTCCGTGGGACTTCTGCAGCGGCAGCTCGCGCCAAATTTCGGATTCGCCATTTTCGTGATGGTCCCGGCAGGCCGGCCCGGGTCCCCCGAACCCGAGCCTTACTCGAAGAAGACATTACATCATAAACATAAGCTTTTGGCGCTCCGCCCGGATTTCCTGGATCGGTGCTGGACCCCCCCCCCTGGCGGCGCCTCCGGCGCCGCCCCTTGCGCGTTCCCCGCGCCAGGGAGGGGGACCCAGCGCAGATCCAAGGAAATCCGCGCGGAGAAGTTTATGTTTACGGCGTTCTTGCTCCCCCTTCTGTTTTTCAAGTCGTGTCTGTCCCTTTGCAGGAGTAATATTTTACAGAAAAGTTAAAAAGTAGTTGGGGGACGATGTTTCGATTACTTGTCCAGTATTTGGGAGTCTGTTTTGACTCTTTTTTAGTTTCTCCCCCAAAAATCAGCGTGTGGGACATGCCCGACCTAATTATGCTTTTAGGTCGGGCATGTCCCCCAACAGGGGGATTTTGGACGAAACATTCAAAAGAATAATTCAGAAATGGTCAAACAAGCAGTCAAGAAATCGTCCCCTGACTATTTCTTGATGAATTTTGAATATTAGTCCTGTCGAGGGACATAGGGGAACAAAAAATGGCATAAACATAAAAACTCGGAGGTCCGCGCGGATTTCTCGGATCGGCGCTGGCCCCCCTCCCTGGCGCGCGGAGCGCGCCAGGGGCGGCGCCGGAGGCGCCGCGGGGAGGCCCCAGCGCCGATCCGAGAAATTCGCGCGGACCTCAGAGTTTTTATGCTTACGCCACCTTTTGTTCCCCTTGGACAGGCCCGCCTCCATTCTGCTCACGCCTCCCCGCTTGCTGCAGTCGAAGATGGCAGCTCTGCCGGCGAGGTGCGCCTGGCGAGGCCAGGCCCCGCCCCGCGCGGCGGCCTGCGGGGCCCGAGCGCCGGGTGGCTCCGCACGGGTCGCCGGGCCTCGCCGCGCAGCACCGCCCCCCCCCTCGATCGCGCGCAGCGCCTCCTCCAGTGTCTCCTGAGCAGCGCAGGCAACTGCAGCGCGTCCGCCGTGGGAAGGAGGCGAAGGCCAAAGTAGCCGACCCCAAGGCGAGAGCCCCATGGCCTCTCACTCGGCTGGCACGGGAAGTTTGGTGGGCGCCACCACCATCGGTCATCCGTAACCGTTTGGCCCCAAGCTTCGTTACATGCAAATGGAGCTGTTCCCTGATAGGCATGATTGCATGTTGCAGCATGCTTGATTGTTTCCGAGGGGACACGTCCAGGACAGACAGGTTCTTCAGGCCCACCGACGACAACTACGAGGTGGCCCAGCAGAACGCGCGGTACGCGGAACGGCACGCGGACGAGACCCCGGTCACGGAGGTGTTCTCCTGGCCCGAGTTGACGGAAGTTTTGCGCCGAGCCGAGTTGCTTTCGGGTTCACACCCGAAGCCCGTGGTCCCCAAGCTCTCTTTCTCCGAGTTCGACTCCGCCACGGCGGCGCGCTTCTTTCACCGCGGGAGCGAGCGCGCCCCCATCGCCATCATCTGATGGGCTTGTTTTCCAGCACCACCACCATAAGTTGGAGGGGGAGGGGGGGTCCTCTTCGTCCTCCTCCTCCTCTTCGTCCTCCTCCTCCTCCTCCTCCTCCTCCTCCTCCTCCTCCTCCTCCTTCCCCCCCATCCAACTTATGGTGGTGGTGGTGGAAAAGAGGCCCATCATCATGAACTTTGCAAACGGCGTCAACCCTGGAGGCGGGTACACTCACGGGTCCAGGGCGCAGGAGGAGGCCCTCTGCAGGCAGTGGCCGATGTACCACCCGTCGCTGAGCGAAGACTTCTACCCCTTCGGAGCTTACTCCAGAGATATCGTGGATTCGCAGAAGCGCGACGTCGAGGCGCGCAAGATCTACAACACGGTCCTCGTGACGCCACGCGTGCGGCTGATGCGGGACGGGCCGAGTGAGCGCTTCCGCGAGCTCGAGCCCAAGGACATGTTCCCGACCACCATGGTGGCCGCCGTGGCCCCGCAGGCGTGGTGGTGGTGTGGTGGCGTGCCGACCGAGGGGTTGGAGAACACCATCGTCCACACCATCCTCGGGCCTCTGGTTGCCTGGAAGGAGGGGCGTGGGCTGCCAGCGGGAGCCGAGGCCGCCAGCGGCACACTTGTGTTGGGCGCTTGGGGCTGCGGCGCCTTCGGCAACGATCCGGAGAACATGGCCGCCCTGTTCATGCAGGCCTTGCACGCCGTGTTTTTTTCCGGCCAGTACGACAGGCTGCTCGCGTGGCTCGCCAGCGACGCCGAAAGCAAGCCTTCCCAGAGGCCCGCGCTCTACCACGAGGTCCACTTCGCCGTGCCCGCGTTCCGGAAGTCCGACGAGGAGAACGTCAAGAGATTCAGACGCGCCCTCGAGGATTTCGTCTTGACGAAGGAGCTGGGGCCGTTGACAACGCACGGCCCGATGAGTGATGGCTCGCGGAGCTCACCCCATGAGCTCACTACCGAACGTTGAGGTGCACAAGTGGCGCTTCATTCTTGAATCGCTTCGCTCATTCCGCTGGGTCACACCGCATGCAGTGTGTAGTGGCCTTCGGCCAGAGTGGGGCTTGGACAAGAGGCCTCTCTGGGAGCACTCTTGGGGTCTCTTGGGAGGCCTCTCGGGGGCCTCTCGGCTGCATGTTTGGGGCCCTCCTGGGGCATCTTGGGAGTGTCTGGGGGGCATCTGGGGTCATGTTGGGGGCTTCTCGGGGGCCGTGAATGCGGTCTGGGAGGCTCCAGGCTGTCTCCGAGGGCAGGCTCGGGTTTCCCTCTCGGGGCCTTGTTGGGGGCCTCTTCAGCCTCCGTGGGTTGTATTTTCTTAAAGAAAAACACTAGAGGTAACTCAATGAGTTTTGGCCGGTCCTGGGAGCCTTCTGGGGGGTTCTCTCGGGGCTATCTGGAGGCCTTTGAGAGGCGCCTCGGGCCGCCCGAAGGCAGCGCACAGAATGCAACCAAAAGCATCTCCGAGTCGAGGCTGTGTGCGCCACTCTCGGGGTACTTTTCGTTCGGGGACCCTCCGCGCGCGCGCGACTGAGAAATCTTTCAAACACCAGCTGCCGGAGATCTTCGCACGCCTCTGGCCCGTTGGGTTTGCAAATCGAGGCTACGCATGCTGGGTCCGCCTGGGCGTGCCGCTGCATGCTTGCGTCACTGTTGTCCGTCGACGGAGTTGCTTACCCTGCGGTTCGTTTCGATCGCTGGCGATGGTGAGGCCATGCTTCAGCACGGACGTAGGATTATCCTGCGTATAGTCTAACTCTCTCGGCAATAATGCCTGGAACTGATATTGGGTACCTGCGCAGCAGGAGTTTGGCGCTAGGGGTGACTCCCTCCTCCTCCTGCGCATCGGGCCTGTCAGCCCGTGTACACGTCGAAGCCATCCTTTTCAAATGCACTCAAACTTTAACCATCCAGTAGCACTGCAACTGATTGAAGAAGTTGTTCAGGTGCGATTGCGTTACAGTCGATCATCATCTTCAAAGGGCGCATCTCGATTGATTTGTATTCCCGTATCCGGGCCTCCTGGGTCGTTTTCGTCGATTGGCTGCAGCTCAAACATTTTCGCGGGTTGAGTAGGGGAGGGGATTGGGGATCGCCGCGTTTGAGAGAAAGTGTACGGGAGGCATGACCATCTTCCCAATCATCATCCCAATTCTCATGTTGTTTCTCCTTATCCTCTTTCTCCTCCTGATCCTCCTAGTTCTGCTCCCTATCCTTCCTCCTTCTGCTCCTCCACCCTCCCCCTCCTTCCAATGTTGGCCTTCCTCTTCATCCTCCCTTCTGCCTCCTCCCTCCTCCTTGCCTTCTCCTCCTCCCGCCTCCTCCCGCCCTGTTCCCTCTGCCTCGAGGTCCCTGAGCGAGCTGCACGAGGACTTCGTGGAGAGGACGGACAGGGACATCGCCGAGAGGTACCCGATGACCCCGAAGGCAAGACGACCGGGGAGGGTCCAGATTCCCAGGCGCCGCTAGAAAACACTGCCCGAATGAGAAAACACAGCAGAAACAAATTGTCGGAGTTCTGGCATGTTATGTGTCTACCGATTCCTGGTGCCTCTAACGCCGGCACGCTCACAACATCGGGCATCCTGGAGCCCGTCCGTGAAGCCCAAGGGTTCCCGAGACAGGCACCAGTGAAACAGAGCAGGGCCGGAGTGGGGTGGGGGGGGGCGGAGGGCTCGAGGGGCGCACGCAGTCGCAAGAGAAAGGACACCAGGGGTCTGGGACAGCTCCATCCACGGGGAAGAAGCAGCCACGCGCAGAGGGAGCGTGGGGGGAGGGGGGAGGGCTTCTTCGAAGCACCCCTGCTTCTTCGAAGGCGCGGGCCTTATCTATAGATGTAAGGCCCGCGCCTTCTGAGAAGCATCCTCCTTCTAAGAGGCCCTCCCCCCTCCCTCCACCCCCTTGTGCGCACCGCCGAAAGAAGGCGAAAAAGGAGGAGGGACGGGCTGCAAAGTTTGGGGTTGTCAGGGCGCCCGGCGAGGTTCTAGGGCGTTCCGGGGTCATCATTGGCTATGTCCTGCTCCTGCTTCTCCTCCGTGTCCGCGGGCTCTTCCCGCAGTCCTCCTCCCCCCTCATCGCTCCCCGCTCCTCCCTTCCCCCCTTCTCCCGCTTTCCTCCTCACTCCTCGCGCTCCTCATCCTTTCCCTACTCCCCCTCACCTTTCCTTCGCCTCATCCTCCTCACCGCACCTTTCCTCCTCCTTCTCCTCCTCCTCCTCCTCCTCACTTATCTTTCTCCCTCCTTTTCCCTCCTCCTTCTCCTTCTCCCTCCTCCTCCTCCTCCTCCTCCTCCTCCTCCTCCTCTCCTTCTCCCTCCTCCTCCTCCTCCTCCTCCTCCTCTGCCTCCCTGCCTCCTCTGCCTCCCTGCCTCCTCCTTCTTCCTCGTCCTCCCTCCTTGCCCCTCCGCGGGCGCCGACGGCGGCAGCAACGGACCACGACGGGGAGCGGCGCCGGCGGCGGCGGCTCCGCAGGCGGCGCTCCCGTTGGGCTACCAGCCCTGCCGGCAGGCGCCGCCGCCGCCGCCGCCGGTCGCCGTCGGTGGATGGGTCGATCCGCTGGGCATCGAGGGTCCCTCGAGTGTGGAGCGAGGGGGTCCCTTATCTTGTGATGCTGCAACCTACTCTACCCCAGATTTCACCATAAAAGGGGGGTGGTCTGATTCGGGATGGGGTCAGATTTGAGCTGTCTTGGAGGGTTCCAGTGGGTCCTGGCGAAAAGCCGCCCTTCATGGCTTGTTTGGGGGGGTCTGGAATTGCCCGTCTGTGAGGGTTGTGACCCCCTCCCTGTTGTGGCGAAATCTGGAGTAGCCTCGAGCACCAGAGAGGATCTCGGGCTCCAGGAAAGTGCCGGGACTCGAGGGTTTTCACGTTTCCGGGCCTTGGTAGACACTCGTCCGACACTGTTTCGACACTCTTTCGACACTTTCCCGGGTGCTCGACATTATTTCTGGGATGTGATCTTCAAGTACGATGGGAGCAACGTAACCCTTATCCAATGCCCTCACCGTATGGAGCGAGAGGAGATCATAACGAGTGCCATATTTCCGTGCCGTGCTCTGGGCCGCAGTGTACGTGGCGGCGCCGCCACAGGGTCGCATCCGTGGCGGGGCACACGGTGAGCATCCCCTGCCGCGCGCTTGCCCGCGCCACGTGCGCACTCCAAACATAAATCCGAGACAGACGTCTGCGTACGGCGTACGGTGCTGCTGCGAAGGAGCAGCAACAACCAACCACCTCCGGCCCAAACCACTTCACCATTCACAGTGCCTCTGAATTCACGATGGGTCTCGATCAACTGGGCATCGAGGGTTCCCGAAGGTCAGCACCCAAAGGATTCGGGAGAGAGGCCGGGGGTCGACGTCTTCGGCCGTGTTCTGGCCTTTCTTGCCCGTCGGGGGGGGGGGCGGCGCCCATGTGGCCACGGTTGGGTCCGCCTCGGGTTTCTGGTCAGGGCGCACCCCGGGAGAGGTCCAGGTCAGGTGGTTGACGCCGTTGTCCGTCGTCGTTGTCGTCCATCGTCGATGCCGTCGCGGTCTGGGTGGCCTTCTTTTCTGCTCCTCCCCAGCCTCCTGCTCCTGCCGATCCTCCTCCGCCTCCTCCTCCTCCTCCTCCTCCATCTCCTCATCCTCCCCCCCCCTTCTCGTCCTCCTCCCCCTCCCTCCCTCCCTCCCTCCCTCCCCTCCCTTGCTCTCTTCATCCTCCCGCGCGCGCGGGAGGGAGAGAGAGCACTCAGCGTGCCGCACCTCGGCGCAGTGCTGCGGCACCCGAGCGGCGGGGGTGCCCTGCGGCGCGAGCGTGCGCCGAGGCCCAGGCCCCCGCCGGCCCCAGGGCGGCCGCCGGCGGAGCTCCGCGAGACGGCGGGCCTCGCGGCGCGCGCGCTGGCGCAGCGGAGGAGCACACACTCGAGCAGCGGCAAAGCGTCCTGGCTCGCCTACAGCCCTACCAGACAATGTGCTAGGAACCTTCAGTGGTTTCCACGAAAGGTTCTTAGAACATGTCTGGCGGAGTCTGTCTTGTTGGAACACATCGGGTTGATGTTATGAGAACAGTGTTTGTGTTCTTAGAACATTATGGGTTCTAAGAATATTTCGTGGTAGGACTCTAGGAATGCCGGGACGGTCGGTCCCTGCTCAACACACCGTTCGCGTTTGTCGCGGGCCCGGCGCTCGCGCAGATCGGTCGGGCGGGCGCAGGGTTGTTACTCACCACCCGCCAAGCCCCCCCAACCTCAAGTCGGGCCCAAATGATAAGGAATAGTCTGGGGACGATGTTTTGACTATGATTGAGCATCTTTGGAGTATCGTTTGTGTATTTTTAATTTTTCGTCCAAAATCCGCCTGTAGGGGGACACGCCCGACCCAATCTCAGCCCAACCCGAAGGCCTCAATGTGCCCTCCATTTCCAGTGGGGGGGAGGGGTCGGGAACATTGAAAAACACATGTATGGAACCCGCACCCCCCCACCACACCCGTCATTCGGGTCAGATTCGGGTCTTCGGGTTTGGCTGGGGTGGTTTGGTAGGTAGTCAGCTACTGTGCAGCAGGCGAGGCATCAGAGGGGGAAGGGACGGCGGCCGCGGAGGGAGGGGAGAGGAGGGCGGCCCCCTCGGACCATGCGGGTCTCTCGGCGACGTGCAGCGGCCCAGGCTCTCGCGGACTGCTACAAGACTCGAGAAGCACACACGCCATCCTTCGAAGAAGAGGACACGGCATAAACGTAAACTTTTGGCGCTCCGCGAGGGTTTCTTGGATCCGCGCTGGGCACCCCGGCAGCGCCTCCGGCGCCGCCCCTGGCGCGCTCTGCGCGCCTGGGAGGGGGGTCCCGCGCAGATCCAAGAAATGTTCGCGGAGCGCCAAAAGATTATGTTTATGCAGTTTTTGTTTTAATCTTGGGCCCAGGGTCTTCAAGCCCAGCGGCCGCATGGGCGCAGACATGCAGGGCTTTCTGCGCGCCCGCGCGCCCGGCGCGGACCACACGGCCGCGCTGGCCGACGATCGCCGGCGGCTGGCCGTGCCGGTTGCGCGGGGCAAGGCAGCCACGCTTCAGAGCCTGGCATCCGCCGTGGCGGTCACCTACCCAAGGCGCTGTCCGCGGCCGCGAAGTCCGCCCTCCTCCTCCTCCTCCACCTCCACCTCCACCTCCACCTCCTCCCCCCCTCCTCCTCCTCCTCCTCCTCCTCCTCCTCCTCCTCCTCCTCCTCCTCCTCTTCCTCCCATTCCTCCCGATCATCATCATCATCATCATCATCATCATCATCATCATCATCATCATCATCATCATCATCATCATCATCATCATCATCATCATCATCATCATCATCAACATCAACATCACCATCATCATCATCATCATCATCACCATCATCATCAGCAGCAGCATCAGCAGCAGCAGCATCAGCATCAGCATCAGCATCATCATCACCATCAGCAGCAGCAGCATTAGCATTAGCATCACCGTCAGCATCATCATCATCATCATCAGTTGCATCATCATTATCATTATCATCCTCATCATCAGAAGCATCACTAGCATCACCATCATTATCATCATCATCACCATCATCGTCATCGCCATCATCATCATCTTCATCATCCCCGTCATCCACATCATCACCATTACCATTACCAGTACCATTACCATTACCATTACCATTACCATTAGCATTACCATTACCATCGCCATCACCACCATCATCATCATCATCATCATCATCAACACCAGCAGCATCATCCTCATCATCATCACCATCAGCATCAGCATCATCATGACCCTCCCTCTCCTTCTTATCACCATCATCGACGTCATAATCGAAATAATCAGAATTGCCTTCATCATCATCCTCATCCGCATCATCACCACCATCATCAATATGAATTGTCGTTGCCATTATCATCACCAGTACCATCTTCACCAGTTTCGTCATGGTCATCGTCACCAGCATCAGCATCACCATCATCATAATCATCGCCGCCACCATCATCGCCGTCACCATCGTCATCGTCATCTGTATCCTCATCATCACCATCACGACCACAGCTCTTTTCCTTATTACTGCTGCTCTTCGTCCTCCTCCCCCTCCTCCTCCGCCGCCTCCTCCTCGTTGTCAGCTGATCCTCATCGTCATCCTTATCATCATCATCACCACCACAATCACTTTCACCATTACCATCGCCATTGACATCACCATCATCAACATCAACATCCTCATCATCATGATCATCCCCTTCATCATCACCAGCATCAACATCATCGTCCTATTCACCGTCATCGTCATCATCTTCATAATCATCATCATCAACGTCATCATCTCCAGCATCACCATTATCATCATCAGTATCGCGTTCACTGTCATTGTTACCATCGTGATCATCATCATCATCAGCTTCGTCATCCTCATCATCATCATCATCGTGATCACCGTCATCATCACCATCGTCACCATCATCGCCGCCGCCACCAACATTATCGTCGTCGGCATCTGCATCTGCATCATGATCACATTCCTTATTCACAGTACTATTGCTCGTTCTCCTCCTTCTCCAACGCGTCCTCCTTCTCGTCATCATCATATCATCATCCTCATCCTTATCATCATCATCGTCATCACCACCACCATTACCATTTCCATCGCCATCGATATCACCATCATCATCCTCCTCTTCCTCGTCCTTCCTCCCACTCATCAACATCATTATCATCATCATGATCAAGCTCATCGTCGTCTTCATCATCCTCATCATCGTCATCCACATCATCACCATCATTATAAGTAGTAGCATGCTCATCGTCAGTATATCCATCAGTATCAGATTCGTCAGCTCGTCATCTTATCGTCATCAACATCATCACTATCATCACCATCATTGCCGCCGCCACCCTCATCATTGTCATCATCGCCAGCGTCATATCCATCTTCACCCACCATCACCATCATGATCACAGTTCTTCTCCTTCTCCTTTTTTCTGCTACTTGTCCTCCTCCTCCCCCTCCTCCTCCGCCTCCTCCTCCTCGTCATCATCAGGACTTCCAGCATTCTCATCATCCCCACCACCACCACCATTATCATCATCAGCAGCAGCAGCAGCAGCATCATCATCATCATCATCAGCAGCATCAGCATCAGCATCATCAGCATCATCATCAGCATCATCAGCATCATCATCCCCCCTCTTTTCGTGCCTGAGTCTGCTGTTGCGCGGGCGCCCTGCCGTGCGCCCAGCCCTCGCCCCTCCCCATCCCCCTCTCGGCCCAGTGATCTTCCAGCCCCATTGCATCTGGCGCGCGCGCGCGTCCAACGACACGACCTGGATGACTCGCACCCCACGGCCATGCCCCCGCCATCGGCGTTTTCCGCTTCGTCTCCTGCCCCTCTCCGCGTCCGCTCCGTCCACCTCAGCCACTGCGGAGCGCGAGCATTCCTGGAATGGTGCCGCCTGGATACGGGGGAGCCAGACCCATTCCCGCCTCCCCGGCGGTCCCGACGGCGACGGGGTACGGGAATCGTCGCCAATCCCAGGCAGCGAGGGAGGGAGGGACGTGGAGAAGACGGAGAAGGAGGAAGAGGACCAGGGTGACCAAAAGGCAGGGAACGGAGCGTCCCCTTGAAAGGCAAGCCTCCGATGGGCCACGCAGGCGGTCCGAGGCAGGAATTTATACATGACTGCCGCCTGGAGGATCATTTTTCAGGGACCTCGGCAGGCGGTGGATATGGACACACTCGGGCCCCCGTGGGCCAAAATGTATCCATATCCGCCGCCCGCCGGGTCACCAGGACGTCTGTTCCCAGGCGTTGGATATGGATAAATCCCCGCCTCGCTGGCGAGGGCCCCGTTGTGAGAGATTGCTGCCCAGCGTCGCTCCAGCGAGGTATGTATGGAATGCCGAAGCGCATTCCGATCCAGCGGCAGCCCCGTTTTTGGAGAGGGGCCCTTCTATCCGATCCGTGCAGCTGGTGCATCATGCCACACGTCCGGCACTTGACAGTAAGTCGGGCCTGTCCCTCTACAGGAGGAATGTTCAAAGACAGTCAAAACATAGTCTGGGGACGATGTTGTTTGACTATTTGCTGGCCATGTTTGAATATGTCATGAGCATTTTTTATATTTCGCCCAAAATCCATTGTAGCTCGCCCAAAATCTCTTGTAGGGGGACACGCCCGACCTAAACTTAACAGGAGGACGCGCCCAGAGGAAACTCCACTCCGAGAAGGAAATGCCGTCCACCCGTGAAAGTGCTGCATGTGTTAAGTTGTATGGCCATGAGCTTCGACGAGGTACTCAGCGAGGGCCCAAGTCTGAAAGGGAGCCGTCGTCCAGCATTGTCAATGTTATAAGAGATTAGTGCGCGCGTGCGCGGCGCCAAGGCGAGAACCCCATGTTGTGAACGAATTCCCACCACCCCTGTACGTATTGCAGATGTCTAAGACGAATATGCGCGGCGCGAAGGCGAGAGCTTCACTTCGAAAAGGTACCAGTCTCCATACTTCTGACCGTTCAAATTCTGAGGACGAGTGCTTGCGGCATCAAGGCGAGCGCACCATTTTGAGAAGGAGCCGTCCTTCATGTCTTCACCAGTGAGAAACTTCAAGCGTCAGGATCCAACAAAAGGGTGCGGAATTCTCAGGCGAAGCGGCCAGCCCTTCGTGCCGATACGTCTGGTGGTGCGACAGGGAAGAGCTTTCTGTAAGGAGACGTGGATGTAGGAAGGGAGGGGAAGCAGAGGAAGACACTGTAGAGACGACGACGACGACGACGTTGATGCCCGCAAGGCACCGCCGCTTTATCTTGCCGTGGAGAACCTGTCCGCCCTGCCGATCTCCCCCACGCCCTCGCCCTTCTTCCCCGGCGCCCCGTCCAGCGAGGAGGCCCTGCGCCGCCGCCCGGCTGGCCGCCGAGCCCGAGGCTTACGTCGGGCCTGCTCCTCTACAGGAGGAATTCAAAAGTAGTCAAGAAATACTAGAGGGGACTATCATTTAAAATTATGTTTGAGTATTGTTTGAATATTTTTGGATATGCTTCATTGTTCGAAATCCCCCTGTAGGAGGACAGGCCGGACTTAACCCGAGGCAGAAGGAACCGCCGGACCGCAAACGTCCAGAAGCCCACGCGGATGTTTTGTTGGTCGGGGCTGGACAACCTTGGCAGCGCCTCCGGCGACGCGCCCGGCGCATTCCGCGCGCCAGGGAGGGCGGTCTGGCGCCGACCCAAGAAGTCCGCGCAGATTTCCAGAAGGTTGTGTGTAGTTACGCATGTGTTGTGTTTTATATCAACACACATGGTCAATTCGAGTTATTCGAAAGTTCTTTGTTTTTGTGGGGGGCAATATCCTTTCATTTTGTTCTATCCTCGGCCTGTTCCTGGCCACTAGGGGGCCAGGAGCAATCAGAAACGAGCACAATTTGGAATGAG